AAATTTCTTAACCGTTTTCTTAAATATATTTATGTAAAAAAATATAATCTTTCCTTAGATCTTCCCCACTTTACGTGGCATACATACAAAAATGCGCTAGCTAGCAGGTTAAATCCCATTCTGAGAGCAGTAACAGCACACAGACGTATCACTGTCAAGAGAGTGCTGATTTACATAGTGTGATCAGTAGCTCTGCTCTGACAGATTACGTATTTTGTATCTTTATTAACTGTGCATAATTTTTACATTCTGTTCCAGTTAGCTTGTGACAGATAACTATTTTTTCAAATCAGATCTCAAGGCAAAGAAATGTCAATGTGGAAAAATAAATACATTACTCAAGCTTCTTGAAAGTATTGAATTAATGACACATTGACTTCAATTGGTGAAATGATGGTGAGTAGCTTTAAATAAAAATATTTTTGAAGTAAAAATACCACAAAGCATTAGACATTTTATAAAGTTGAGTTAAATTAGTATTAGAAAAATTATTGCTCTTAGATTTTTATTACATATTGAGCTGGATCTGTCTTCCTCTGAAGTCACCAGGAATATTAACATCAATTTAATTAACTTGAAGCAAGATTTAGCCCAGAAAGAGTTATTTTAACATGAATAAAGGAGAAAATGAAATCTGAATCTCAGTTTTTCCAGCAAGGCACTGAACTAGATCCACAGAGATATTTAGATACCGATTTCCCACTGGACAAGAAATAGCCAGGTAAATATATTTAAAGAACCTGGAACTCATTAGCTCTGATCCATATTGAACTCAATTTATTCACCATTTCCCAAGACAGGTGAATAGTAAGTACAGCAACGTGAGAAAACAGTAATATAAAATCAGTATTAGAAAAAAGGGTAGCTCGATCTCTGCAACAATGAGAGCTGGATTAATTTTCCAACATTCATTATGAACAATGGGAACTCACAGCTACTAGCTAACAGCTCTGTGCAGCTCGGTGGGTGGTGTTCAGTTTTGGACTTTGTACACTACTTCTAACAACCATCTCCAAAGCAACAGGGACTGGCTGTCTGGAATCACTCTGCAGGACAGAGCCAGCCAAGGTGCCACCAGCTGAAACACCCTGTTTAAACCACAGGTGACATTCTGATCTGAGTTATACCAGAGTTAATCAGAGGCACGGTGATGTTAATAGGATCAGAATCTAGCTCAGTATCAGTGTAAAGACTGTGGTTGCTCACTGGAGTATCTCACATTACTAACAGATTACTGTTCGCATTGCTTTCCTGGGTCTCAAAGGAAAACTGTAGTATTGCCAGGACAGTTTTAAGTTACTGGCCTTTATTTTCAGTGTGTGCTATATAGATCTGTGCGTGCCAAGTTGACACAGAAATATTATTCAAATGCTTTACCAGTTTCCAGAAAAAAATATGCTAGCTGAATGAGGGGAACTTGGTTTTCTTCTTCTCTATTTTATCCTGTTTTTAAAAATTAGTCTGTGCCAAGCAAAAGTTCATTGTGTCTTTCATTCACCTTGTGCCTGCATCTAGAATTTGCTTTGATCCCAAGTATAACTTGTTTAAATTTTGTAACCATGGCATAGCTTATGATTTTTATCACTTTGTATATTTTACAAGTCTTCCATTATTTACATAGCTTTTTAAATGATACACTCTGAAAAGTAATCTTATCTCAAACTATCCTCCTCCTGTATGGTGTTTATGAAGGTAGTGGTTGATTCTGTTCACACAGAAGTTTCTTGCCCACATTATTCTCTCCCACCAAAAAACTACAGAATGAACCACGGGAGGAGATTTTCCTTGAGATCCTCCCAACCGGAGCCTGATGTTCCAACTCGATTGCCACAGAACAGGCCTTGTGGTGTGTCCAAACCCTGCAGATCCCACAGAACACTGTGCCTTAGAGAATTACAAAAAAAGGTCACAGTAAACTCGTCAAAGGTTTTGTGTCTCCCCATGAGTCTGGTTTCTATGGGGCCTCACCTCACATTCACTGAAGTTGTATTACAAACATTCCTTGTAGTCAGAGATCTCAGAACCTCCTTGGCTTTAGGCAAGCACCTTTACTGATTTGCTTCAGACTTTCTAGAAAAATTCTGCCATAAAGACGTTATGTGATAGGATACAGGAGCTGAATAATCTTGGTGAACTGAAGGTGCCAGGGTCTGGGGAAAATGCCTCTTAACACCAGACAAAGCAGAAATCAGCTGTGAATATATCATGCCTCACTACCTCATCACCTTGCTATCATGCCAGTGAAACTTTGTGGATGTTGTCATTTTTATATCTGAGTATCTTGGAGAATTAACAAGAACTAAACATAAGTACATCACATGAAGTCCTATTTCCTGGCACTTTCAGAGCTAGATGAAAACCTCACCATGGGTCTGCTACAAATATTTTTCAAGACCTCAGTGTTTGTGGGTAGTCTTTAATTTTAAAATTGAAGATTATTCTGTTACTGGCAAATCTCCTAGATTCAGCCTTGCATCGCCCTCTGATAATGTCACAGGCACTGCTGAAGAGCAGATGCGTGCTGTGAGAGATGACGAAATGAAAAAAAAACAGCAAAGAAAGTCCACTCTTCCACATGAGTACTCCATGATCTCAAGAACTCTGCATAGCTGGCAGAACACACATCATCCTTAGTGAAACATCCTCTGAGCATTTCAGTCATACTGAGGCAGAAGTTTCTGCATCCAAAACACATTTTAGGTTGCTAGAATCCAGCTGCAACATAGTGTTGTTAGGATATTTAAAGCACCATTCAGAATGTAGATGAGATGGCTGTGCTAAAGAATAGCTTTATCAGTTTCAATAAAATACATCCAGAAGACAGCAAAGCAGTGAAGCAGCATTATTTTAAAGCAAAACAAAAATACTTATACAGATTCTGCAAATTTGTGGAGCTGCTGGGATTGTATTTTAATGTGATCTATTCCTTATAACTACTATGGGTATAAAGCTACCACTAATATATGACACAATAATCCTGCCACCACTCTGAGGAAGTGCAGAATAGTCAGAGTTCGTAGTGAAACACATATGGCAGTGTAGCATCTTAAGCGTGGCCTGGGCACCTGTGTCAGCAATGGGTAAGGTAAAATAATTAAAAACCATGGTTTCACTTCGAGCAGACAGGGACCAAAAATTTAGGAGTCTTGCATAAAAAGGGATCTTCTAACCTGCGTATTTTTACCTATTCCAGTCTTCACTGCTGGCTTGTCCTTGATGAATATAAAAAAGTCTTGATTTTGAATGTAATCTTTATGAAATAATCTACAAAAAACTCTGACTGAGAATATAGTATTATTTTATATAAATTTGGAGTTCTTTATTGGTAATCATCATGCTCAGTAAATACACGTGTAAAAAAGGATACTTAAAAAAAATCTTACAACAGAGGTCCAACAGTCTTCAACAAGAGGTCTGTTTTTCCCAGGTAGTACTATAAAAGTATATAAAGTATAAATCAGCCAAAGATGCTGAATGTGTACAGCTAAGTCTTAAATCTTTAACCACAGCAATTAGACTGATAATTTGTAAACCTCTGCCCAGGTCTAATTTATTCACTTTTTTTTTTTTTATGTAGACAGCAAGAGACACGAGTTACATCAAAGCAGAAAGGAGATGCTGGCAAAACAAGATGCTGAGGGTTACCTGTCTATAAGCTTCTAATACCATCTTAGACAGTCTAGGGACTATCTAGGGATCATCTCTGCTGCCAGCTGCCACTCCAGAATGGCACTACTCTCCTGTAAGTCCTATGCCACATCTGCCAGCCCAGTGTGGCTGTCTCAGATATTCTAGGGCTTTGAAAATAGTAGTAGTGAATCCCACCCTGACAATTTCTGTTCAGAGATATGCAAGCCCTGTCCAAGCTAACCCCAGAAAAGAAGGCACTGAAGAGGGAAGAATGGAGACACCCAAGGTCAAGCCCTGTCCAAGCTAACCCCAGAAAAGGAGGCACTGAGGAGGGAAGAATGGAGACACCCAAGGCAGTCCATCTGAACAAGCACTGGTACCGAAACAATACAGCTGAAACAAACTGGCGTATCCTCACGCAGCCCCACAGTGTTACATGAGTTTATTGGTTGGGTCTTTGTCAACTCAAGGATGTTTGCATCATGTTATGTTACATATTGTAGAAACTGCAAAGTTTAGGGAAACAGGAAAATTTTGGCTTCCTCTTTGCATTTTGACTATATGATGAGGGAACAGTCCTCAGATACAGGTGGCTGGGAAGACCAAGAAATAAATCAATATATATTTGTAGCTAGGAAATCTGTCCTAGTAAAATGAATACTAATCAGCTGTCTTTGCTTCTAGACTATTTTGGTTGGTTTTTTTTTTTTTTTTTTTAAATCTCACCTTCCTTAATTCTCTTTCAACTACTAACAGAACAGAGCATTATTTCCCTTTTCTATTTTCCTTTCATAGCCACTTAGGATCTTGCATCTCTGAAAGGTGATGTCCATCAGAGATTGCAATCTGCCTTGTGCAGTTCTCAGGTATGTTTAAATCTCCTGTTATCCTTCAAAGGCTGGTTGAAAGAAGTGTCAGGTCATTATTTCAGGCTGTAGCTTAATACTTAGGCTTAACAGTATATGATCTCTCACTAGCCTTCACCAAAGGCCTTCATTCACTGAAGGTCAAGGTATTAGACTGTTATTTTTAAATATACTCCCAGCAGTGAAGAGTTAAAAATAGACTTCTATGAAAACGTACAGTAATTGGTTAAACCTCGCTAGCCATCACATGAAGATGATAACTCCTCCCAGGAAAAGACATAGCAAAGCAGCTTTGACTTGGATTTACACTTAGAAGAGCAGCTGCAGGCTTACTGGGAAGGAGTTCACAATATAGGCTCTTGGATTATTAACAGAAAAACCAGCTTGATTCTGGACACAAAGGGAAGGAGATACAAGAAAAAATTTTCTATATCGTGAATTGCAAGTAAATTCCATGGATTCTCTACTTTGGAAGAACCACCAGTAGACAGAAAGCTTTAAAAGATGGAGCTGGGAAAGGCAAAACTGCTGAGAACTGGCCTCAACGCTTTATATCAAGCCATCCACCCCATGCATGGAATTGCCTGGACAGATGGGAAGCAAGTGATGCTGACTGCTTTATACTATCATAATGGAGAGCTAAGGTTTGGAGACTCGAGTGTTGTTGGTCAATTTGAACACGTTCATGGGCTTTACTGGGGCCCATGTTGCTCTACAGACACCCCAGCTCTGCTTGCTGTTCAGCATAAAAAGCACGTTAGCGTTTGGCAGCTGGGCTACAGCACTGCAGAGAAGAACAAACCCTTGATTTCTCAGACTTGTGAAGTTGGTGAGCCATTTCCAGTGCTTTCCCAGGGCTGTGTCTGGCATCCGAAGAAGGAGGTCTTGGCTGTGCTTACAAAAAGAGATGCTTCAGTCTTGCATGCTGTTCGCACTGACAATACTAGAGTTAAGGCAGATATCAAAAGCAGTGGGCTCATCCACTGTGCTTGCTGGACTAAAGATGGTAATCGTTTAGTAGTTGCTATAGGCAGTGCCCTGCATTCTTACATATGGGATGATGCTCAGAAAACTCTAAATACCTGCTCCTTTTGCCCGGTCTTTGATGTAGGAGGTTATATCTGTGCTATAGAAGCCACACTGGATTTCCAAATTGCTGTAGCTACTGAGCTTCCTTTAGATAATATCTGTGGTTTGAATGCAGGCATTGCATTTGATATGCCATCTGGTACAGAAACTGGTTCTTCAATCTCACAGTCTTCTCTGGTGCTTGGTGATGAGGAATACTCCCTGGACCTGCGGAGAAAGTCCACAGATTCAGACAGATCATGTGTTGATTCAGTTGCTTCTTCTTCGTCAGGTCCTGTGGATTTAACCCACATCCTTGCAAACCACCGTCGGTCTGATCCTGGTCCTCTTATTACTCTGAAACGCAAAGACTCTGCAGCAACAAATGGTCAAGATTCTTCTCACTTGATCTTGGTGACTTTTGAGAGGAAGGTAACCACCACCAGAAAAGTCACCATCCCAGGTATTCTGGTTCCTGATATAATGGCTTTTGACCTTAGAGCTCAGATAGTGGCAGTAGCCTCTAATACTTCTAACATTGTTTTGGTGTATTCAGTAATGTCTTCTTGCATGCCTCATATTCAACAAATCCAGCTGGAAAAAAATGAAAGACCAAAGGGCTTATGCTTTTTGACAGATAAACTCCTATTGATTCTGATCGGGAAGCAAAAGTTCCCTGAGCCTAGTCTCATTCCATCTTCAAGTTCAGACAGGTATGTAATGCGTCTGATGATCAAAGAACTCATGCTGGAAGAAGGTTCTTCAGCATTGCCTGAGACTAAGCAGAATATGATTTATAACTTTGAATCTTCTGTGAATATTCCTGGAAGAAGGAAGTTCTTTGAAAATCTTGCTACAGAAGACCAACCTCAAAGCAGGGAGCTGTTAACACCAAGAAAAACAGTTATTAAATCTCCTAGTGGCAGGAGAAGACTTATCGAAGAAGGAAAGACCCCTAGTTATGAGCAGAGCTCTTCATCAAGTGTGAGTGACCTGGATGAAAAAAAGCTCCCAGGTGACCCCTCAGTGGCCTTGGAAGCACTGGATGCTGAACCCACCAATCGTTCAGTGTCTCTTCTTTCCAGCAGACCAACTTCCCCTAAAGTGCAGTTCAGTGTGATCCAAGAAACATCAAGTTCTAAACTCAACATTTTGCCGACTGAAAGAGGAATGAGTCACATATCTAGAAATTTAGAGAGACTTTGTGGCAGCTTCAATGAGTTACAACTGAGTCTTTCTGAAATAACGGATTTTGCTAAAAACGGGAGGAGGATATCTTTAGCCTATCCATGTTCACAGGAGCCACCTGTCGTTCATATCACTTACCAGGTAACATTTTTGTCAGCTTAAAACTATTGTGATAGGACACTGAATTTTAATCAATGTCGTATTTATTTAGCTTTCAATCAAGAAGATGCATCTTAATTCTTACCAACACATGAGAAATGTATGCTGAGTTTGGCACCAAGTTTAATTTAAAATGCTATTATAATTTGTCATTGAAACAATAACTCAGCATGATATGGGTAACTTAGAGGATGCTTCACATGAGAGAACTGCCTCTGTTCTTTCTTCTTTGATTATGCACAACTGTCTTGCATACTAGCTGATTTTGTGTGCATCTGTCAAAGAGAGAGAACAAAGCTAAACAGTTGTTAATGTACAAAAGGTTCATATGTTAGTCTAGTGTAGAGATGAGCCTATGAGTAGGGTGGAACAGTAGCCCACCAGAAACATAATAAATTCAAACCCAAGCTCAAATCCAAAGTTTGAAGATAGCTAGGCTCTCAAGAAGACTGAAACAAAGTTCTGATTCTCAATTTATGGAAAATTCAGGTGGGCATGACATTAAGTTTGCTTATTTCTACTTTAATTTCTCACCACTAATCTTCACAGAGCTGGACATACTCAATTTGTAAAAAATATTACCACTTCAAATTTTCTGAAAAAGAACCCAAACCAAAATCTGTCAATATGTAATTATAATTTCATTAAATAAACAGATTAATATGAAATCATCATGTTCCTACCAACCCTTGTTTTGGCAAAATTCCTTTTGGCTTCAATAAGAATTTCAACTAAGTCATGTAGGCTGGGTGATTATTTCTGGACATTATTCTTAGTACTATTATCAGTAAAAGTAACGTTAAACTGATAATATTTCTGGTTATGGTGATGCTAGTGGTGTTGTTGCTAAATTGGCATCCCTTTCAGGATGTAGATGCCAATTATAAATGCATTCTTACCTAATGCAACATAAGCAGCCTTATGTCAAAGGACTACATTACATTGTGATGATGCTGAATAATGTACTTCTCAAACAAATTTGACTTCCTTTTACTTCAAAGGAATCCATACAGACATCTAAGTACCCCTCCTTAAACACTCATTAAGGGAACGGTGACTCAATTCAAACATACTCATTAGTTTTTAGCAATTGTTTACTTGGCATTTAAGTAGTTCTAGTAGGTTAGGTACTCTGGATAAAAGCAAAGCTTTTGATCTGAATTAGTCAATAATTTAACTTGAATACATTATACAGAATCTGATTAAAAAAGCAACGTCTATTTTAAATAATTTAGGATTTTATTTGCCAAGAAGAAAGCCCTTCTGTTCTCCAGCATGTTCAAATTAATTCTGATTCTTAACATAAATCAACTTATTTATTTAGCAAGCAGTTCTATCTCTTGGTTTCGATCGGATTAACCTTTCCAAGTTTTGTTTGAGACATGTAACATTAATCTAAGATCTGAAATCACTGTGTACGTTTGCCTGCACAAGCAGTAAAAATTAATTATCTTGCTTTTTTCTTTGGAAGAAAAAAATATTAGTGCTTGTAAAATACTGCTAGACTAGCTACATTTGAAAAGGAAGACTCTTATTTATGTGAGCAGGTTAGTTTCACATTAAGCCAGCAGAAAGCACGGCTAGTGCCCCATTATAATGACTCAGAAAAAGTGCCACTTAATTTCCAATAGGTAGCTTTCCTGTGTAAGTCTCACAACTACTTCCTTGCACAGTTCAACCCCTCTTCTGAAATCTAACAGGATCACACTCTGATGCCAAAAAATAATGAAAAATAGACTGATGGCAAAAAGGCCTCCAGACAGACAGGGAAAGACTTGCTTCATAGGCAGCTAATAATTTTCTCGGAAAATAGTTGTTTTGATTAGTTTGGATTCAGACATCTGAACCTTGTTCCTCCGTCAGGAGCTGATTAGTGCTCTGTGAGCTCAGAGAGCAGCTGGGCTGTGGGTTCCAGCGAGGCTCTGTGTTCACAGTGCAAAAAGTCAGGAAATCACTTTATTGCCTTATGATATAAATATTAGCTCGTGGAAAACATTCTAAGCTTTAGGAACACTGCAGTCCAGTCAATAATATGGCCATTATCTTTCAACTTTTTCTGCCAAGTGCATGTCTTCTTAAGTGTTTGTATAATCCCCAGCATGGCAGAGGCTCAATCTTGATTGAGAAATCTATTGTACTATAAAATATAACGATCAGTACTGCATAACCATATTTATGCATTAAAAAACATAAAAGGAAAGTTTAAAACATAATAGATAAAAATGTAGCAATAATTAATGGGCAATTACGAACACTGCTGTGCAGAAGCACTATTGACATATTTATGTATGTTTCCAGTTCTGCTTCAAAAACCATAATATAAAACAGAATGTGTATTTACTTAATAATGCATAATGTCTGCTCACTAAATAGTTTTGAAAACCTTTGTTTATTCTGTTAGTGCTAGCCTACCTATAACTCCTCTAAAGTCACATCCATGCAGTACTGCCAGAATTTATATTCTTTGTATCCCATAGCCATAAAAGAAAAACATGATCACTCACACTTTGCAAATGTCACTGCACTATCACTCGTGTAATGGTATTCAGCCACCAGAGGTGACTTGATCATTCAACCCTGAAAAGCAAATATTATTGCTCTTTCATCACATACAGACTTGTGATTCGGAATAAAGTGGGAGACAGACAGATGCAATAAGAGGCTATTATTTAAAATGAAAAAAAAAAGGGACGAGGATCTGTCACAGATTTGTTTCTGTTGAATTTTGCAGAAAGATACTTTTATCATCCTTTCCCCCAGAAAAGAAACAGCTGCAGAATATTTAAACTACCCTCATTCAAAAGCTAATTACAGTGGAAATAAAGCCAATCTGTATTTGAAATTAATGGTATTTAGGCAACCCTCTCCAGCAGGAGTAAGATTCTTCTTAATCTGAAGAATATCTTAAAACTCCTAGATTTTGCTCACAAGTGGTATTATGTCAAAAGTCTATATCACTAAGAGCATATGTTGCATAATTAAACAGAAAATAAATATCTTTTTGGCAATTAGTCACCATGATTTTCTTTTCTTAGCACTCATTAATAACTGTACACAAGTCAATTTGTACTTTTATAGCATCTTCATACAATTTACTATGGGAAACTTTATTGCCAAGGCCATCTATAAAATAAACATTTTTTACACAGAGCTAGGAGATGAATAGAAAGGATGCAAACATATGGCAATAAAGTTTTTCTGATAGAAGTACATGAAGTAGAGATAAAGAAGGGAAATATAAGGGTGGCACAGTAAAAAAAAAGATCAGGATGCAATGATCAGCTGTAATAAGACCATGAACCTTTCTGAAATCCAAAGGGCAATTTTGGCTTGGGTTGAGAAGTAGGAAGAAAGTAATGAAAATGATGGAAGAGGAAGGTGATATGATTGCTCCCTGGAGTAAGAAACTAGTCAGCCACCCTGAAGTTTAGAAGGAAGAGATTTAGGATGACCATAAAAGAAAGACCTGCAGTAGTCAAGAGAAGGTGTGATTAATGCACGGATAACATTTTGAGCAAAGGTTGAGGAATTTAAGAACAAATTCTGACAAGAATGTTCTGAAACTGATCAATAGCAGACAAGCCAGGTTTGTAGAGGAGACACAATACCTTTTGTTAGAGCAGATTATTTGTTTGTTGGATACATAGACGCAAAGGAAAAGGAATCTGTAAAGTCAAAAATTAATCCAAGTTTTTTGTATTGTGCAAAGAAAATAGAGATCTGAGTTTAAAAAAACCCCACACTCAAAGCACAAAGACCATGGAAGCACAAGCACGAGGACAAAGGCTGTATCTTAGATGACAATATACCTGAAACAGTGGTTGCAGAACTGTTAACAGGGAGCCAAGAGCAGAGAAATCCTAGCATCACACCATCTGAAATGCCGATATGCACCATAAATGCAAACTGCACTGGGATTTAAGCACCCCTGAGCACCGCCGATCTCCTCCAATGTAAACATTTTACAGGTTTATGCTTCTCTGACAGGTCAATTAGGGTTGCAATTGGAATGTCCCACATTAGGGCAAGCAAAGATATTAAGATCTCTACCAAAATAAAATCAGGATCCACCAAAAATCAAACAGGAATCACAGTAACAGTAGAAATCATGACAGGAAAGGGGAGCAGTGCAGGCTGCCAAACCTAATTAATACAATTAATACTACCTGTGACTATGCTGCACAAGGCTTAATGTGACAGAGTACTTTGAATGTCAAAAATCATAGTTCTCATTCTTCTTCAGTGCTCTTCCTTAGCCATCTAACTCTCTTTTCATTGTCTTCTGGGCCAGAACCCCCACATCTATTTAATTTACTGTTTTTCTCATCCCACACAGCGAATGTGGAGGCAAGGCAAAAGCAAGCTGACTAATGGGTACTAAGATATCTAAACTGAAATTACCATTGAAGCACAATACAAAGAGCTGAAATCAAGGGTTTAAGAAAATGAAAAGAGAGTTCTACGTAACTACAGCACTATTCATCTTACAGTGCATAGGTGTGACTGACTAGCCTCATACCTTTCCTTCATAAAATAACAGATTATTAACACAAAGGATAGGAAGAATATTTAAAATATCTGTAATTCAGCACTTGAAATTGTGCCACCGGGGAAATTATTTGTTCAACAGCAAAGAATTGGGATTAATAGAAGAAACATAAAATGGTTAAGGAATTATCTAGAAGGAAGATAGTAAATGGTTATAGTAATATAAAAGAAAATGGAGGAAATTTTCCAGAGGATTTTCTCATGACTGATCTTCAGGCTAATCTAAAAGGTTCATTAATGATCTGATGAGATATGCTAATAAAATCTGCGTATGGCAGTAGGATGAGAAGTATTCAACAGAGGATCACGATATTGCACCTGTAATTTGACGACCTTAGCATCTAGAATAAAAAAAAAATGGATTGACATTAACTTGTATGAAGTGCATAGTGATATATTCCAGGATTAATAGAAGGAATTTCTGCTCTAAACTGGGTATACATTAGCTGGAAACAACCAAGGATGACAAAACCTTGCACATGTGAAGTGATGACTATGAATCAAAAATGTGATACATTTATGAAAAAAGCAAAGGCAGTCTGTGGGTACATCCTGAGGAACATCCAGTAAGGAACGCACTGTTGGGCAGCACAGCCATGGGGCCTCATCTGGAAAACATCTTGCATACCTAGACATCCATGTGCAAGAAAGAGACATTCAACCTGCAACTGATCACTAACCCATGGTTAGCAAAAACAATTCTGATTGGTAGCATATTCTTATTTACCACACTGTTTCATCAGTCGCTGAATTTAAGTTCATGAAGATGATCTCAGCATTCAGGCAAGTGCAGACAGTGCATTGGGAAACATGAGATAAATAGTGAAAAAGTCAAGAGGCAGAACTAGCTGACTGCTCAGTGGGCTTCAAAAAAAGTGATAAAAGACAAATTTATTTATCGTGCAGACATATGGTCTATAATGTCTAACCCAGGAACCATTTTTACCTTAGTAAATTATTTTCTTCCCAAATATTTCAAAACACGAGTTTTGAAAGACAGTTTGGCAACGCTTTGATGGGCTGGCTGCAGGCCAGAAGACCCTTTATAGGCTTATAAAGTCTCACCAAGGGGCAGGTTGACCCATACAAAGTTCTTGAACTGATGGTTTCTTTCTGTTGGATTTTTGTTGAGGGATAGTTGGACGTGACACACTACTGGAAGTTTCCTAAAGAAACTTAATCTGAAAATATCCACTCATGTATGTGGAAATATATTTGTTTCCTCTGTGATTAATGTGTTCTTAGTCTACCAATAAACTTTGGTTTAGGATAAACCAACTAACATGAAGGGTTTTAATCTGAAAATGGCAAGTCCTCTGGCTTCTATTGGAAACAAACAGCAACACAGCAAAACCAGACAGACCTATTTCGGGAAGAGGTCGATTAAATTTAGATTTGACTAGAAAATGATCTTTGGGTTAAGGCACGAAAATAGGAAGTACTGAGGTGAGATTCTAGTTGTATTTCTACCTCTGTCACAAATTACTTGCATGGCCTTGAGTGAGTCTCCTAATCTTCCTGTGTAATGATTTGATCATCGATAAAAAGGGAATACTAACAGTTACCTACCTCTCAAGCAAGCATGGGTTTGAAACAGCTAATATACGATATGACAGGTGTGAACATATTCCTCAAAGAGAAGGCATGTTATCATCACTTAAACTAAACATTTAACAAAAAAAGCTAAATAATTAGAATATTAAAACAGAGAAAGATTCTTGACCTGACAGAATTTGCCAGCAGACAAAAATAAATGTAAACATGATTAAATTTATCATTATAAACAGAAGTATATGTCAAAGACAGAGAGAATAGCTAATATGAATCCTCACAAGTGATGAAAGACAAACAGCTCTGAGACTTAAGCTTTGAGGTCTGTACTTGAAAAAGCGGTTAGCATAAAAAACAGATGCCATGTAGTTTTGTATATGCAAAAAAGTCCTCCAGTTCTAATGGCTGTTCCAATAATAACTTGCAAGGCTAAGGAGCAAACATAGTAGAACGAAGTCATCCTCATCATACATTTCCATTCAACTGATTTCAAGTCAACAGAGGCAAGAGCTAGATTGCTTTCTGATTATTCTTGAGTTGAAACACACCTACATGTAAAAATGAACTACTCAGGTCAAGGCAATGTGCCTGTCTCATTTACAGTCCAGCTTTTTCTACAATTCATTAACTGAAGTTTGAATGAACTCTGTTATTTCAATCTAAATTCAGGAAAATGAAATAGTTGTTAGATGTACTAATCCACAATGTGCAGCAATGAGAAGCTTTGCACAAATACCTGTACAGGCAAATAGCACCTTTGCAATGTAAATGAAAAGCATACGCTCATTGCTGAACATTCAGACCATTGAGTTTTAAGTATATTTAGGTTCAATAGAATATAGTACTATATACTCTGAAAAGACCTAAAAATGACAGAGAAATTCTGTTATATAGTTACAGCTGTAATAAAAAGTTACTAGAGGTTTATGACTAAGCAAATGATACTTCTTTGATGCACTCCTTAGGTATTTCCCTATTAATTACACAGCCACACATTTCTGGCTGTTTTGAATGGGGAAAGAGATGAGAAGACCTTCAAAAGCTGGAAAGTTTACATTTTTAATGGAAAAATATTTTTGCAGTTCTTACATCTTCAATCAATCACAATATGTAAATAAATAACAATGAGCCACAGACTATCTGCATGGCCAATTTATGACAGAGTGGGGAAAAATACTTCTGCAACAGTCAGCAGACATTCTGATTTACAGAATCCAATGTGATTGCATGACAGCATATATACTATGTATGGAAAAATGAAAGTGATTGATTTAGAAAGGTTGTTATACAGCAACAAAGCACGTGTTCACTGAGAGAGCGACTGAGTCAAAAGACAGCACAATTAGAAATGAAGACAAGCATTAAAAGAGATATTTATTTAGTCAAAGGTTAGATTACTATGCACAGAAATAGAAGATGCAGTTGTGAATTCATTCAACTGTGAGTTTCATTTTATCAGGAGAGATTCAAGGGTATGAGGCAGAGACAAACAGGGTAGGACTAGAACAGGAGTTAGGACAGATGACACCTTTCAACTCATTCTAAAACATGAAGTTGGATCTCTTCTGAATGTACAAAACAGAAAGGTCTAGGAAATGGGATAAACAGACTGTTCATTCAAATAACAAATATCTTAAATCTGGGGGTATTGCAAACATAAAGAATGCCAAAGGAAAAAAAAAAACCCAAAACACACAGGAACTATACAGGTGGAAAGTATGGAGAGGGAAGAACAAAATTAAATTAACAGGGCAAAGTATAGCAAGATTATTTAGAAGAAAATGTCCAATTCACATACATTTGATAATGGCATTGAGCATGGGAAAATTTTTAATGTTAAAATGACTGTCAAATGACAGCAGATAGGAAAATATAAATGCAAATATATATCCACTCCATAGCCATATTAGCTCAACTATTTTGTGGTCCTTGCACTTTGGAGTAATCCAAATGACAGAACACAAAGGTGTCGATTCTCAAGGCCAGCTAAACTTCATGAAGCACGAATATGCCACCTTTATATTCAAGGGTGTTCTTTTAGTGAATGTCAAAGCAAATTCCAGGGCTGTAAATCCATACATTCCCTCTCTCTCAAAGAAAGTCACAGGATTCCCAAGCTACCTAGTTATAACAGCTTTTCAGAGAGACTGTGGCTATGTCCAGTCTCTCTGCAATTCTCTCTGTGCCAGAACTGAGGTTATTTTACGGGTCTGGAATAGCTGACCGATGACTATCCAAACCACCCACGCGTACAACTGAAACTGAGCAGAGTTTTCATTTGCTCTGGTAGCATCTTGGACAACTTTATTCCAGGCATGATATATTCCCTTCCACTGAACTGACTCTTCAGGCAGAAAGGCCCAACTGACACATGTGCATGACCTAATACAGTATCTATACAGGGCTGATGCAGTTTTGAGCTGCATAAACACACAAAGCAAAAACCAGAGGCACAGTCCTATTCATGGGGGACTATGAGATTGCACTGCATGATGGTGTCATCAATAAATTGTAGCAAAGACAGACAAAGAAAAAGCAAAATGACTAAAGAACTGAAAGCAGTAAGAGCAGAGGAATGGTTAAAAGAACTCAAGCACAATGTCTAAGCCTTTAACAAGATCTTTTCTTTTACATATATGCATTTGAAGAAAAGTTTTTCAAATGGAGCAGTTACGGAAGAAACAAAAGATGTTCTACTCTGTGATGGCAAGATCCATTTGAATTTAGTCCAGCAGCTGTTTGATCTTCCTGTTATTGAAATGAAACATGGTATGTTCTTTTTATTTCTGGTATCTGGTTTCACCTGAGATTTTTAGCGTAAAAGAGGCATTTGTGGTAGAATAATTACCCCACACTGTAGTAAACTGAGATAGCTAACTGTTTTTTATAAGTGTTTTCCTTTCTCTGAAATACAGCAGAGTGTCTCCTGAAGTCACTTAAATGCTGAGGAACTGCAGAACTACCAATTACCAGAGTAACACGTTAGATGCCTCTACAGAGGAAGGCTGAGAAAATAATCAGTCCACTGTTAATAGAAAAAATAGAAACAAGTACTTCCTTGAGACCTTTTGGCATTTTGCTTTGCCCATCTTTACAAGCATATGCCAGACCTGACAATATAGCATAGGTTGGAGAAAAATTTATTCTCAGAATAGGATATATATATGTATCATGTAGCAATTGGGATTATTTTAGTTTAAGATAAACAATGAATCTCAATGTTCTAATTTGCCAATCTCATATTTCTACCACCCACCAGCAATTAACTTGTAAGGACAGAAGCAGCTAGGGAAATCCTAGCCCCAGACTGGTCTCTGAATTACCTTGTCCCTGTCCACGTATGCTCACTTTTCAGCAACACACATACTGTTATTTTTCAGACATTTCTCTATAAAGCTTCTGATGGCTTTTCTCATCACAGTCTAAATATATTATGATCTTACACTGCACCATAGTTGTCTGTAATTATGATCTCCTTGCATGATTTCCACACTGAGAGATCCATAAATTACTCTCTGTCTTGCCCCTTATCTCAGCCTCTGACAGGCTGAGACACATTGGCTTAATCGGTGTGCTCTGTCTTATGAGAAATGAATTCAACTGTTGGTGAAATAAAAAAGGAAAATAATAACATAAGCGATAGTTTTCTAAGTAATGATGGTTACATACTAGACTGCTTTATAGTAGGCTTATTGATAAAAAATGAACCAGGCCTGGGATGTTACTGGTGCTGGCACCAAGGACAGTGTGAAAAAGAGATGTAAAATATGCACTATTCTGCCATTCATATTCTGCTTATCTCTGTGTTGTTGATGAGACCACAAGAATGAAGAAAAGGGGCTAGAAACACAACACAAAACAGTTGAGCTGCCTTTGTCCAAGACACATTGGGCCATTTCGGTTTTCCCCTGGCTTACAGCAGTTTCTGAGAGTTGTTCCAGAAGATAAGGATATGCAGGTTTCATATTTTTGTCAGCAATCTCTCTGGACTGTACAGTACAGTGGAGGCATATATGAAAAAACTCTACTTGCTGTTGAGCTATTTCCCAGCAGGCTTCTGCAGTAACACCATGCAGCTTTGCGGGGCAAGGAGGATACCATTTTTGGCCTGAACTTCCAGCTCCGGATTTTGGAAACAAATGCCATAGTGAAAAAAAGAGGTTTAGAATTCAGTATGAAAATAATAAATAATGGGCCTGAGAAAAACTATTTTCAGCTCTATTTAACAGTTGAATATTTAATATTTAATTAGCAGAACACTACTCCTCAATTTCATGCATTAGAATTCAGAGATATCAAAAAGAGAACGTCTCAAAATCATCCTAACTTCTTGTTCTTTCTGTTCAAAGTGGTGCTCAGCTTTTCTGAAATTGAGTCTGTTTGTTGACAGCAAAAAAAGAACATCTGAAACAAGAATATTTCTAAAACTCACCAAAATCCTGCAAAATTGTCAGGTTTGGGGCAGCAATAGTTATTTAGCTCTTTATTTAGTTCTGACCAATACAGGTTTATATTCCTAAATCTTTCCTTTGCCACAAGGCATGAATATTAAATGTGATGTTTAAAAATATCACTCCCATCCTTTAAAACTGTACAATTAAAGGGGATGTAATGAAGAGCGTGCTTGTATTGCAATGACAGCCTGGAATTTTTTACTATGAATAAACTGGAATATATTGGGAAAAAGAAGTTCATAACTGTAGGCCAAATTCATAACCACAGCAAGGCTATTAAGATCATGAGAGTTATACAAGCAATGAACTTGGCCTCATCGTGTGCACTTTAAGCCCAGGACTTTAATACCATTACCTGCACTAAATATAGCCTGTCATAGCGTGGCCTGGTATTTGCACACAGAGGTCTCTCTTTTCAGCGGGTCATCGTTGTCAGAACTGTGCATAGCAAAAGGGCATTCCATTCTGCACAAGGTTTTTCCACCATTGAAATATTTTGTGGGATATGCTTCAAAGCAAGTATTATCAATGACACAGAGAATTTCAAACATTTCAACGGATGAAAATAAAAAGTCCGAAGAGTGAGACAAAAGAGTATGCTCTGTCAATTTAACCAACAACGTAACTATTGGTTTGGACAGCAGAATTTCCACTTTCAGGCCCACCGCTTACAGAATCTGAAGTCTGTCCAGAATTAGAAAGAAAGTACTAAGAGTAGAAGATTAAAGATTCATGGTTTGGAATTACAATCTTCTTATGATGTAACAGGTGACATGACAATATGCAATAGTGTAGCAGCCTGGAAAAGTGCTTTGTTAATAGTACAAGGAGGGGAGATTTGCCTTGTCCAGGAACATGCTTTGTTATGACTGACAAAAATTAAGCATGGTTCTTCCGGATGTTCTACAGTTCCTTTTTTCACATTCCTTTTCAAAGCATAGTTCTACTTCCCAAAATTAAAAATTTCAACAACAGAACATAACAGGGCTTTCTCTACCTCAGATACCAGCTAACACCCCTGCTCAGTAATGACAGGATCACATGCTCGAAGAAAAATGTGTGATAAAGGGCTCCTACAATGCTTTTTAGTTGCCACAGATTTTTTTTTCTTTTTCATAAAATATCATACTGAAAAAAAAGACAAACAGAGAATTCACAATTTTCTACAAGAACTGCAATATTCAGTCCAAAAGGAAACAAATGAATCACTAGGAAAAGAAAAAAAAAAGCTTCAATGTCAAGCTGATTTGCAAAGGAAAGCAAAAAACAAAGGGGGGCAGGTTTATTTTTTTGCTTCTGTGCAACACAGAACCTGAATGATATTGATGACTTTGGTTTTTAATCTTGACTCTTTTTTTTTTTTTCAGAAAAACAATATTTAAAATGTATTTAGATGTTGTTCATCCTCTTCTTTATGAGAAGATTTGATAAATAATTAAAGGACAAGAAATTGTATTATATCAGCTTTTGTAAATCACCTTCAAGGTCTAACTTCCCTTTGCTATATGAATGTGAAAACATACTGAACAATATTGGCTTGACAGTAAAGGAGATGGAAACCCCTACTTCCTTCTAGAACAAACACAGTACGATCACTTGCTTCGCCAACTTTTTCAGGTTTTATGATCTCTTCATCATTTGGGTAGAGCACATGAGCAAAAAGGCTAAGCAGAAGTAGATGTCAGCAGAACAAAAGTCAGCATGGAAAGGCTGTCTGAGTTTTCAGAAAATGGAAATACTTACAGTTTATCAGAACTAGCAAAGATGCACCTTGTTTTTTAACTTAATTTAAACAAGGGACAAAATGCCTCAAACCTTTCAAGACCTTTCATTTAGCCCCCCCTTTGCAATTACACAAAGGTGTGTTTAGCATGGATTGTCAGAGCTTAATATCATTAGCGTAACAAGGCTTTAGTGTACAAAAAGAAAGCCTGCTCTGCTCACCTGCTGACTGACTTTTTAAAACATGCTTGTACATTTTATGTAACCACAGCAGCACACTCATTTTCTTTTTTTGCTTAATTTTTGTAGGCTCTTCTTGGATTGTGCTCACTGCAGACAAGGACGGCTTTGTGCCATTAATATTCAAAGCAACACAAGAGATAATAATAAGGGATGGAACTGACAGTTCAGAAGTCTGTGGAGGTCACTCCTACAAAAAAAACGTTCCAATGCGACCACCAAGCAGAGTGACATAATTTCTGACCAAAGAACATAATGACCTTCTTTTCTACTACAATACAAAGACATTCTGCAGTGTCACAAACTGCACGACTAGAAAGCTGTCTTCACTATTTTCAATGTATTTTAAGTGTAAAATCTGTGGCATGGTTACACTATAGCTAAATCCTAGGGTTGGCTGGACCCTTATGATTTCTTCTGAAGGATTCAGACCTAGAGTGAAGTTTACCACTGCTGTTGTTATTAATGGCTGCCAGCGGACTGGAGCAGAGAGACTAGCCTCTACTTTAATTGTGGTCAGGATGTTCTTAGAGAAACAATATTATGCTAAAAGTCATGCAGTAACAACAAATCCAGCTAATACAGGTGCACAGTCCACACAAAAGCTGAAGAAAATACACCTAAAGAGCATTTATATATATTAAGGAAAACTGGGAAGGGAAAAAAAAAAGAAAACTGCTTCAGGCTCTTTGCTGTTTCAGTTGGATCCCATGGAAACCTGCAACATTTTCAGAAATGCGTAATTTTTATATGAAAATGTTCAATTAGTAAACAAGCTGCATCACTGTTTCCTCTCAGTGTCTTACACAGCATGCAGATTTATACATGCACACGGAAGAGAAATAAAAAACCTTGCAAGGTAAATTAAGGATCAAAGACATTGAAGTTTCATTTGGCTAAACGCAGGTGTCTACACTGAACTTGTCATCTAGACTCCCGTATAATCAGCCAAAAAAAGAAAAGCACTTCTACAGCAGATTACTCATGCCCTAACATAGATTCCTAAAACTGATTGTGGTGAACCATCCCTATTAAGTAAGTAAATAAGTGCCTATTTCTTTCCACTGACTGAAAAAAGCGAGGTAGGGTGACTAGTGTAAATACAAACATTTACAGTCAGATGAACCTCGCCCTCAGAGACAAGAGGCAATACAGATACATCTGAGAAGCAGGCAGACAGATTCATGGACGTTAACTATCATGATTATGGCGACAGAAATAGGCATAAAGGAAGAACTGAATGAACTCCCTAACTTTTCTTCCTCTAAATGCAAAGAGATGGGTGAAGTGTACTGAGCAGCCAGGTGTGTGAGGCCTAGGGTTTTGTACTGCTGGACAGGCCCCAGCAAAACCATGGAAAGGCATTCCTACTTCACCCTCTACACTCAGGGAAACATAAAGGGGCTGAGACTTATTTAAGCTACTATTAAGACTTATTTTTCATACTGTGCATTTTGGGTCTTGTTGATACTCCTGGAGAGTCTTTTTTTCCCTGCTGGGGAACCACGGCAAGCCCATTTATAGGGCACAAATATGCTAAAATCCAAGACTTCATGCCATACCAAGGCTGGATGGAGAAGGTAGATCTATGGCCTGAAGACACTTAACGGGTTTGGAAGTTTGGCATTAGTATCATTCCAGTGATACAGCCAGAAATCTCACGAGGAACAGTTTCAATTCCTGCAGTAAGGAAACAGTTTCAATTCATTGAACTAAATAATGTCCTTCTCATGCAAGTATCATCCCAGAGACAAAGGAATACTCATTCTAAATCACCTACAGCAGCAGGTACGCAAAGTAGCTGGGTATATTTGTACTACCTTGTTTGCAAAGATCTTTTTAAGCAGCCTCAAGGATCACTCCAGTTTGTAAAAAACAAACAAACAAACAAACAACAACAAAACCCAAACTAAATCTGACCTTTTAACTATTAAACACACCTATTACTTTGCAGTTATTTTGTTAATTGGATTGCCTGCTACTTTGCGTTAAAATTGTGTTCAAAAAGGTATTTGTATTATTACTGCTTTAAAAATTTGGATAAAGTAATGGTTTCCTTCACTAAAATCAGCCCAAATCATCAAAATCAAGTAAGTAACACAGGTTCACAGACTTAGTATGGTGAAGGAAGACATTATCAGATTTCTAAATGACATAGCACATTTCAAAGCAGCAGATGTTTCTAGTCCTGCAAATCCACTTGAACAACATCCTTGTGTCTCACAACAGTATCTGGTATTTACAATACTTACGCTATGGCCAAGTAAAATAAAACTTAATCATAACTAACTAGAATGATGGGAGGATATATTTTAGAGGAATACTTAGGCTCAACTAAAGGAAGAACTAAAAGGGAACTTCTCTCTCAAATAGTATCTTCTATGGGTGATAGTCCCATAGTTTGGTCCACTTGAAATGAGGCTAATGAAACACAAAAAAAAATATGTTAAATGGAACATTCCAGCACTCTAAACGTATGAACTTGAGGAAAAATGGGATTGAGCCTATCAGGTTGACAACATACCACGATGCTTTTATTTGTACTGGATAGTTGCTTTGAGTTCATTATACAAAATATTCAAAAAGACTTCCTCACTGCTAGAGAAATACTCACGTTCCACCTTTTGTCATCTTCATGCCTTAGTGTTGTTGCAACAGCCAAAAGGGGAATTCTGAGAAACTGAAAATCTTAACTAGAAGAGATCAGCAAGTATCTAGGCATCAAGGATGCCTCAGAACTTATAATTATCACTAGACATTTCATTGTCAGTCTGTCACATTACCATTTTAATTTTTCCTGTATTTTCTATAAAACAATCTGAATGCTGAGAAGATCAGGAGTGAAAGCAGCTTCTTTGAATGGCTATCAAAGTTTGGTTTGGCTTGATTTGGTTTGGTGGAGATACAAAAGAGGCAAATAAACTTTTAGATGACAAAACAATTAGTTTCAGGGAATAACTGGCTGTAAAATTCAAGAACTTATTTCTGTGATGCTTAATGAACTTTTGGATTTGTTACACTTTGGTGGCATTGTTTTCCCCTGCTGTATGATTCAAGGGTTTTTGAATCTAAGTAGGAACTAATCTGCCTAAAGGTGCTATCATCACCCAGCACAGGTATTCTGGTAACAAATGAGAACCCCAGTTCATCTTTTTGGACACTTAATTTTATAGGAAGGTTTAGGAAGAATATACTATATATCAATTAAAATTGTATAATGTTACAGCATAGCACTGCCCTCCTATTTATGAACACACTATTACGTACATGAAAGTAAGTGCTTACATCACATACATGCACTTAAAATGGAAAAAAAAAATTAATTAAGAAATGTTTGTTTTCAGGTAATGATTTAGGGGTGCAGTGCAGAACTATCTTATGTAGTGTCTATCAGAGGGCTGTAAAGTTAAAATTGAAAGTACTGAAAGCAGTGGAAGAAATGCTGAAGAGATTTATGCAAAGCAAAGGATAAATTTTCAGCTTTGGTTTGGATGGAGAACAGATGGAGAATCAGTGAAGTAGAGAGATACAAGGCTGTTCTGTTAAGCACAAGCTGTACAGATTTTTGTACAAACAGTGATAAAGGCATGTGGAAAGATAGAAAGAGTTTGTACTAAATGAGTTGAGCAGACAGCAGGCTGCGAAAAGGAGAAAAGCATAGATTGAGAAGCATTCACTGTCCTCCAGAAGTGCTGCTTTATAGGCCCAAAATCAATCAGTTTAGAAAAAGAAGAGTTGTTCAGATCACCTAAATTTCATGAAGGCACTAAGCCCCTTTTTTAGGCTCCATATTTCACCAGCAGAAAAAACCAGGCTCTTCTGGAAGAATAATGAGACTACTGGTGCTAGGTTCCTGTCCAGAGCCACCTAATAAGGGAGTCTGTCTTGTGTAACCAAAACACAGGAAAGCCAGGGAGACCAGGAGCTTGAATTAGAAGTCTGAGCAGAATGACTACACTCAGTATGCCATACCAGTGGAGCTCAGAAGACTAAATGGTGTATGAGCTCCTCCAAAACATTTCCCCTGTGGGGAATAAACAACATACCAGAAAGTCTAAATTTCCATTTTACTTACTCTGCATCTTTATCCAGCACATTTATATGCATCCTAGTATATTTTTAGGAGTTGGTGTATCTTTACTTAAAAGTACAATCTGCTTCAAAGCAAAGTTAAAACTAACCTTACATTTTCTATAATTTTGCTGCTAAGCACGCAGCAGTCTGCTTTACTCTTCATGGTTTCTTGTATTGACCCACTCCTTGGGAAAATGCTAACAACGGAAACTCTGTGTGCCAGGTAGGCTTTTTCTGTTTTGATTTTTGAATGCAGTTTTGTAAGAACAATAATAAAACATTATAAAAATTAAATGCAACAAAGTCAAAGTCAGCTGAAATTCTGCTGGCCAAGCTATGATGCTGACTTTGCACAATGAAATATTACTTTGATGTTCTTCATAGTAGCTAAAAAAGGGAAAGATCACTGCAGGAAGAGTATAGAATAGGCCCTGCATGACCCTCCAGTAGTTCTTCCCTTTTTTCCTCTACTAGTCCAGAATAGTACTATCTATATTCATGTGAAAAATCTTAAATATGCATTTTCTTTAATGTATTTTCAAACGCTGAAATAGTATAAATATTATCATCAAGCCTAACTTTCTTTCCCCTCATTCTCATTTTTATCTGTGTTTTCTCAGCTTGGACAATGCACATATTTTTAGCCATTTTACTTTCAGGTTTTCCTATCTTAACAGAAAAACACAAGCATTGAACCATCTTCCGCATCCAATATGTAGCTGAAGAGTCCTTTTCCCTAACCCAAGCCAGTGCCAATTATTCTTAAGTAACTCCTGATAGACATTTATCTAACCTGTTCTTAAAAAAACAACATATAATACCAGATTGCAATTACGAAACAGTTCAGTCCTTTAGACATGAACTCAGCTGACCTAACGAACTAAGCATGAGAAGTCAGGCGAGGTAAATCCCAGGGGTTATGCAATTTCACACATGAAAGTATGAATTTATTTTCCATTGTCCCACAAAACAGAAATTAACTATGTATCAGTGTTTTATATGTTAATAGTAATTTTGTATGTTTATATAGATGTTAATTATTCAGTATTATGGCTTCCTTTTTCTTACAGACTGAGTCAATTTCACAATCTTTATGTTAAATGCAAACACACTTTGCTGAGACTCAGCACTGCCCTGCTGGTGCTGTTATCTAATGGACAAG